CCCCCACCCCCACATGACCAATGTGGCATGACAAAGTATTCATCCAGCAGTTGATGTGTATATACTCCTTTGGGATATACATGATTGTAATTATTGTCACAATGGGGTCTGAAGTTATTTTTCTGAAGGGTATATTTATCTGACAGAGTACGTTTATCTTGTAAAAAGAGTGGGGGAAATATCTAAACGTGATGGGAGTTTGCCGTTGACTACATTTCTTTAATTTTCGGCGTAATACACACAATATATAAAACAGATTATTGAAAAGTAATGAATATTTCCTTTGCACAGCACCCATCACTATTTCTCACCAATGCTCCGCATGAAAGCTCTTGTCATCTCATTGCTATATAATATTGCACCACAAGGTGATTAGTCCGGAATAAGATTACGTAGTGTTATTATTTTTTTTGCAAATAATTGTTTTCTTTTGTTTATAAATGTCTGGGAAACGTGACTCTTGAGTTGAAATCTACTCTTCGGTTGGCCTTAGAATGCCGCTGCACGTTGAGAGTTTATTTTGTTCCACGGATGGTCCCGTGTAGCCAGTTACCTGGTCATTTTACACGGCAGATCCGTGGTGCTGCTTGGGCACAACAACAAAAATATCCATAAGTTACTGAACAATAGTTGAGTTCTTGTTCCACTTTTGATAATTAGTCTTTCCTGACCAAAAACGTATCATCCAATATTAAATAATTACAGCAGGAAGCTTACGATCCTGTGGACAGTCAACCCACACACGCATATCTCCCCCCCCCACGCCACCCCGCATCACCTCTCTCTCCCTCGTCACCCCCTTTCTCCCCGTCTCCGCCTTTCTCCCGTATCTCCCCCGTCTCTCTCTCCCGCGTCTCTCCCACCGGTGTCTCACTCTCTCCCCGTCTCCCCCTTTCTTCTATATCTCCCTCTCTCCCTCGTGTCTCCCTCTCTCCCCCGTCTCTCTTTTCTTTTTACGATCAGAGGAAACAAGAAGATGCTCGGTGTAGTCGGCACTTTGCTCTGTTCATCATTTCGGTTTTTTATGCTTTGCGTTATGTAACCCCCCCCCCCCCCCCCTTTTAAATGAAAGACACAACAACATATATTTTTCTTTTTTTTCTGCTCTCCTTACCCCTTTCCTCTCTCTCTACCCCCCTCTCTGCCTCTCCTCTCTCTCTCTACCCCCTCTCTCTACCCCCCCCCCCCCCTCTCTCTCTACCCCCTCTCTCCCTACTCTATGTCTATGTTCCCCCTTTGTTCTCTTCCTCCCTCTCTCCCACTCTCCTCACTCTTCTCTCTCCTCCCTCTCACCCCCCTCTCTCCCACTCCTCACTCTCCTCTCTCCCACTCTCCCCACTCTCCTCTCTCCCACTCCTCACTCTCCTCTCTCCCATTCCTCACTCTCCTCTCTCTCCCACTCCTCACTCTCCTCTCTCCCACTCTCCCCACTCTCCTCTCTCTCCCACTCCTCACTCTCCTCTCTCCCACTCTCCTCTCTCTCCCACTCCTCACTCTCCTCTCTCCCTCTCTCCCCACTCTCCTCTCTCCCACTCCTCACTCTCCTCTCTCCCACTCTCCTCTCTCTCCCACTCCTCACTCTCCTCTCTCCCTCCCTCTCTCCCCGTTTTTTTCCCTCTCTCCCTCGTCTCTCTCCCGTCTCTCCCCCATGTCTCCCTTCGTCCCCCGTCTCCCCATCTCTCGCCCCCTCTCTCCTCCGCTCTACCCCTTTCACAGTTTAAACATTATATTTGATCAACAAGACGCATTCGGAAGGGCAGAGCTCTTCCCGAAGACTTATATAATGTGCTGCACTTATTACACACGTGTGACAAGCTTTTAAATAGACTCAGAATAAATACACTTTCATCGTGACTTCTGTTTCATGTAAATGGGATCCCTTCTATATGAATTAATGTTTATTGGCTGTTACAGATGATATTTTTTTTGCTTAAGTAGTTTACCTTTAGGGTTATCTTCCTTTTATCTGAGGCAATGAAATTGTCGAGAATGACTGAACTGCTCTCAGCAGTAAATACATTTGTATTCTTTGGGTCTGTCGGTAAAGTCACGTAGATAGGTTCAAAGAAAATAACACAAGCGATCGTCATCAGGAGGCAAAAGAGATGGGGAAAGCTGCTGAGGCAGACCGTTTAAAAGGTTTAAAATGGGTGTAGCCCAATGGTCGTAAACGAAGTGGGCGGGGTTAGTTATGTTAATGTGAGAGATTAGCATGTTAATGTGAGAGATTAGCATGTTAATGTGAGATATTAGCATGTTAATGTGAGATCGCAGAGCAGCAACATCGAGCTCGGAGAGCGAGGTGGCTGCGATAGTGTGGGAAATTTTACCTGTTAAAGTAAAATCAGAGAGCCCAAAATAACAACAAACATCGGAAGGTGGTAGGATGGGAACATCACAGTCAGTTATGACTTAAACTGGTTCATAAAGTATTTCCAATGATTGCTCAGTTTGTACCCATCTTCTCTATTGAAGTTGTGTCTGTATATGTGGATGGCTTCATGAACAAATCTTTGTTGATAGCCAGTGGGCTTGCAAAGTACCTTCGTCTTTGAGAAATCAATTTCGTGTGAGCCCACCGCATTAAAACAATGATCAACCACGGCCGAGGTATTAGTCCTACCATGTTTCAGATCTGCCTTATGTTCACGAACACGGTTCGAGACATGTCGCTTAGTTTCCCCAATGTAACTACAGCCGCAGACACAGCCTAGTTTGTAGACACCGGGGTATTTCATGTCAGAGATCACATCCTTCACAGATGGGATCAGATCACAAATTATATGTACTGTTTCGATTTAAAGCTTTCGTGACTGCAATGATTCATCTTCTTTGGTTCTTTCGGTAAAGTCACGTAGAATGAGAATAAAATAATAAATTGATAAAATAAAATAACACAATAATATTCTCACGACGTTTCGGCCACAACACAAGCGGCCTTCATCAGGTGAAGGGGGGCGAGACTGTCTGGTAGGACAGCGCTGGAGCGCAACGTCGTGAGAATATTATTGTGTTATTTTATTTTATCAATTTATTATTTTATTCTCATTCTATATGTACTGTGTTATATCGAACTTGGATCTTGTGTTTGCTCATGAATTTGGATATCTTTTTGGTGACCCCTGCTATGTATGGCAAGGTGATGGTATTGATTGGGTCCTCAGATGGTTCTTTCCCAGTGGTTGGGGTGATAGCTTTACGGATTGTGTCGTCTGAATATCCATGCATCTTGACTTCAATGAGCGCAATGGTGTCAGGCACAGGAACTTTGGTAAACAAAGAGACTACATCGAAACTAACGAGCAAATCACCTGGAGATAGTGAGATGTCCTTAATGATACCAAGTGAGCTGAGTTAAATACAGCTGAGGTGGTCTTACCAGTGAAAGATCTAATAGTCAACTATTAGATCTTTTAACCCGCTATATTTTTCACCTGATGACGATTGCTTGTGTTGCGATCGAAACGTCGTTATATTGTTATTATTTTATTATTTTTATAATTTTTTCTATCTACATGGCTTTACCAAAAGACCCATAAAATATGAATTCTTGCAGTCACGAAAGCTTTAAGTCGGTGATTATATTGTTGGTTTTCGTAACGAGGCTGTTGGCGGGATCTCTTTTAATTTTTGTATAGTTACCATCATTAAGTAGGTCCTGAATTTTGTTATTGCATGTAGTTTTGTCCATGATGACTGTGGCATTGCTCTTGTCGGCTGAGAGGATGACGATGTCATCTCTCTATTTTAATTGAGAAAGCTAAAAAAAAAGGAGAGATCACACCGTCGTCCTCTCAGCCTGGTATAAACTGAGCAATCATTGGAAGGACGTTATCAACCAGTTTAAGTCACAACTGGCTGTGATGTTCCCATCCTACCACCTTCCGATGTTTGTTGTTATTTTCGGCTCTCTGATGTTACATTAACGGGTTACATTTCCCACACTAACGCAGCCACCTCGCTCGCCGCGCTAGACGTTGCTGCTCTGCGGTCCTCCATTAACATGCTAATCTCTCACATTAACATAGCCACCTCCGTGTGCTCGTCGTGGAGGGCACCCTCTGATCTTATATTAACATGCTAATTTCTCACATTAACACATCGTTTATGACCCTTGCCTCCTGATGACGAACGCTTGTGTTGTGATCGAAACGTCGTAGTTTTTTGTTGTTATTTTTATTTATTTTCTTTGAACCTATCCACGTGACTTTACCGAAATAACCCAAAGAATATGAATCCCTGCAGTCACGAAAGCTTTAAGTCAGTAAATACATTTACAAACAACTCGGAATGAAAACAACAATACGAAATTAAAACCTTCCTGTTGTGTCCTCTGATGACCTCTAATGAGACCCAGCACTGTTAAAGTCTGACGTCACTGCGTGTGAAGCTGACTGGAACCACAGAGTTGCATTGAGCAGGGAGACCTGCAGTCTCCAGGGTCAAGGCAAAGTATACTTAAATAGCGGTGCAAATGGTGTGAACAAGCGACAATGGCACACACAGTCGCCATTAAAGAATGCAGGGCCATTACATGGAGTACAAGACAATTAAATGCAATTTTAGAGAACACAATAACCTTTGAAATGTTTGTCCTTAAAAATTTAGATGATTGCAAAACACAAATAGACTTGTACGAGGGAATCCGCAAGATGCGGCACATTTGCAAAAAAAACGAGATGTGATTGCGTTTGTAAATTTTCTTAAATGACGTAAATTCGGGATAACCGCATTTTCAGACGTTCAAACATTTACACATATGTTCGTCCGTCGGTGAAACAATCAGCGATTTTTCGTGTTGGCAAAAGCCACTTTTCTGTTGATGTCAAATCAGGGCAAAATAGCGACGGAACCCTCATATAAACAGTTCTCCACTTTTCATTTGAAGCGGTTTCCGCTGTGCGGAGAGGTGTTTGTGCACAGGAGCCGTGCACGCCACCGCAATGCATGCACGCAACGTTCCACTTCTTTCACACCCTACATAGCCAACCGTGGCTATTCGGAGGTGTGTGGGGGGGGGGGAGAGGACAACGAATTAAACACAAAAAAGCAGTTATCAAGAAATTAGTTTTCAACCTCGATTATTTAAAAGTGGATGGCTCCAGCGCCTGCCTAATAGTGGAAGGAAGAGCGTTCCAGACGGCCGCGGAAGCGCACCTGGAATAGCGCGATGCGGTGGTCGTCTTTGTTCGATGGGCGGCCAGACGCCGCCACTGCGAGGATGGCCCGGAGTTGGCGTGCTGGTTTATGCTCTTTGGTGACATCAGCTAGGTGTTGCGGTTCATTTGTGGCGAGCACTTCGTGTGTAACGGGGTAGGCCGGGCAGGGAGAGCGCGGAGGTCCACGTTTTCGTGGCTTCTGTCAGGGACGTATGATGAATGCTACGAATGAATGAATGGACGTACTGCGTGAACTTTTGTTAATCCGCTGTTGGATGAATTCATCCCCATGCAACGTCGACCTTGGTGTTTGACCACATTTCACCACGTTGGTCGGTGTGAATAGTGGAGATGTCCAAATTGATTATCAAATAGCCTTGAGCAAGTGGTGGAGATTCCACATTCCCATGGTGTGGTTACTCTTTCCATAGAATTCGAACTTTAGACGTCCTGGCTGGATTATGGAGCACAAGATATTCGGTGTTAAAGAATGTACATACATTAGCAAAAGGCCAGATATTAATATATGCTGAAGAATGCTCATTGCTCAAGATTGTTTATTTTTGTTGTTGTTGTTGTTGTTGCTGAAGACGCATTATTGTCTCGACAGCAATGGAGAAAATGTCCAGCGTTGTTCTTGTACGGCTCTTGCAGCAGGACGTGAACCGATGGCTCAGGAGGTTGTTGCCACCTTACTCGCCTCACGAACTCGAAGGTTTCAAATTAACGTTCTCGTTCGAGGTCACCTGCACCTCATCATGCCTCAAGGTTGATTAAATGAGGACCATTTTAAATGAGGTCAACGCTTGTTGTCCCGTGGAGAGATTGGCACCCGTAACAGCAATGTGAATGTTCCACCACTGACTGAGGCCTATCAACCGAGATAACCACTGCCCACTCATTATTTGTACACTGGGAGACAATTTTATTTTTTTATCAACGAAGTCAACACACACGCTGGAGTGGCGGTACAATGGGCAGCGCACTGCACTCAAAACCCAGCCACCACAGTTCAATTCCTGGCCATGGCTGATGTCAGTGGCAAGTGGTATCACACTGGGAAGACAAAGATGCCAGACATACCCCCCCCCCCCATGTACTATAATATCACTTGCCTCCTTTCGTCTCCAGTCTACAAGGCTACACGGTGGATCTTTGTATTTGTGTGTCAGGAGTAAGGGACTAATTGGTTGACTTGGTCCCGGGTGGGGTCTTCACAAGAGCGTTATGAAACCTTTGGGGGGCTTTTTTTATTTTCCTGCCTCCGTCTTAGGATTGTGTGCATTCCCGATGGAAACGTGGGCTCAGTCTGATTTCATTGCTATTGGGATTTCTGGGTGAATGCAGCAGAGCGCACTATTACTGTCACTTTTAATAAACACGTGGGTGAGGCTTGTACAGTGGTGCAGTCATGGAAAGCTTAACAGCTTTTAACACCTGTTAATGATGTGCATTTTAATATCCAGTAATTGCTACAAAAGTTTTGAACTTGTTCAAATTTTGTGATTGGCAGCATCGTGCCTCTTGCAAAACAGCATTATAAAAATTGTAAGATGTGCATTGGCCATTGTGAAACAAAATAATATATTTTAATCTATTGCATGTATTACTTGTCAGAATGCACCGTAAATATGTTATTATTTTCATTAAAAAATGTTAATTACATTCGAGGAATTATATCGACAATCGTGGTGAAGCAGACATAATTCACTGCGGCAGCATTTGCTCCACGAGTACATGCAATACAACAGCGACAACCGCTGTTCGCCACTAAGTGGCGGTGACATCACCACGGCGCTTGTGCCAGGCTAGGTGTACTTTGAGGCCACGTACCATGTCGAAGCCTCGCTGCGGGAAGGAGCTCAGGGGACAGGTCCAGGTACCATGCATTGGCTGAGGTGACTGGCAGATGCAGCACCTGTGTTGCCCCGCTGTGCGGCCCCGCTGTGCCGCTTCGCTGCCCGGCGCTCCGCTCGTTGTCTTGAGCGTCGCTCTTCTGCCCTCCGCTGTTGTTGGAGGGTGGCTGCCTCCAACTGGCCAGTAGCAGCACAACCGTGCACTATACCCGCACCTCCGACGAGCATGGTTGGCCATGTACGGTGCGAAAACAGTTCAACATATATACAAATTGCATTTGTTGGTTTTATGCTACATTCAAAGGTTGATGATAACATGAGCCATGGGGGAGTTTATTAAGAAAATAAGTTTAAGTCAATAATGATACAATTTTAAATGACTTGGTAATGTCTGAAATATGGTGAAGTGATAGAGCACTGGTTGGCGCGCTGCCATTTATTAATGCACAAGGCTGATAACCTAGGTTATCACGGGTGCGATACGAGTTCAAATCCCCGGCCTCGGCTAACATCAGTGGCAAGTGAAATTTGTGCTGATCCTGGGCATCTTCTTCACCAATTTGCACTCACCAGCGTGGTGAAGTATAGTCAGACAAACATCCATGATCGCATGGCACGGCGAGACTGTAATCGAGCAGTTGGTAGATAGAGGCTTTTAAAATATAATTAATGTCCGAGACATTTTGGATTCTCACAGCTTGGCAGAAATGTAATGTATGTATAAAATATAAAGACCATAGGACTGTATATGGCCATTACTATGGTCATTATCCTGCAATATGGTTCCCACATATTGGGGTGAAATTCTTCCTGCCTCGGTGAGAACGACCACAGCACGGGTGCAGCTGCAAGATTGATGATGAGGCACCTTGCCCTTTTATAATCGGCATGGTGCACATGCTTCATTACGCCTGTCTGTCTGCCTGCCTGCTTGCCTGCCTCCCGCGCTGGCAGAGAATGCCTCCCGCGTGCAATGCCCTGAGCTCAGCCAGCCAGTCTGGGCAGGCGCTGAGAAATCTGCTGTCGGCTGCACAATTCACGCGGACTCTGCCAACCGCAGCCGGCAGTGGAGGTAAGGGGATGTGAGCTCAGATGGATACCGTTTGCATCGAGCTGACCGTTTGGGCCGCGTCCATCGATGGGCGTCAGTTGACGCTTCGTTATGACCGGGTGACGAAAAAATAGCGTCTGAAAAGTCGTGCTGGATCAACATGAGAAAGGAAAGGGGGTTGTTGGGAAGGAAAGGAGGCTGCGAGAAATTTGGTTTGTGTGACATGAAGCAAGAATACGATTATTTCGCTTCTATGTTGGAAATCATTTAACCTTTATTTGTTTAACTCCTGCATTTTCCTCGAAGTTGAATTTCATGAAAAGACTGTTATAGGTTCAAATGTATGTAAATGAAAGAGAAAGCGTGATATTTTAATAACACAAGGCACCCTAGAAGACAGCTGGATTAGAGATGTAAATTATATATTGGGTAGGTTGTATTTTTCCTGCATAAAACCTTTTAAGGTCCCTATGATACTTGATGCTACCATACATTCACACATCTTTTTTGGCGACGTGATGTACTTTGATATTTAATTTAAATGTATAGTACAAAGCCCAAAGCTAAACCGGGCCTAAATGTGAAGCCTCATGCTCCGCTGTAGCCCACGCGTCTGTGTTCATCGGGACACGCATTTCCCTGGCACACATGCGTGCGGCTGCGCTTGCTCATATACTAACCATGACACGTGACATACTTATAATCAAAATTGCAATGCATTCATCAATAACACTGCCCTAATAGGATACATATATATGTAATAGGTGACATGTTGGGCAATTCCCCTTCTTCATGGCAGAGGGAATTGTCGGGTTGTTGTTTGTGTCTGTGCGGCACTGCCAATGCAGTATCGCAAAACATTTATAATCGGGCTGATGTATCGACCTATATGCCACCTACATCATGCACCCTCCACTACAATTAGGCGTAATCTCACATTGTGTGTGAGTGTCCCGTTAAGTTGGCTTTAGCTTATCACTTGTAATTAGAATGCGACATTGGAGGAGTTAAGTATTATTATTTTATTAAAACCACGATACATTCAGGCCATTTCAGAGGAAATCGCCACCAGCGTTCTTCACTGGGCAATCTTTGAAGGCACCATTTTCTATCGTCGTCCGGGCAGAATCTGTCACTCTGTGCCAGTTCCGGACAAACGCCGTGGCCGCTCATGGCAAATGTCTCGCCGCCAGAGTCGAATGCCGAATGACTATTGCCCTAAAAATGGCTTGCGCTACGTCCTTCAGGGTATGCAACACTGCCGCACGTAATTAGAACACGTTAATAATAATAATAGCACTGTATGTTGCTTGACCTGCGCTTGTGAGACTCACTAGAGCACTAGATATACCCCCCATAATTGTATACATTAGATGTTTGAGCGTGAAAATAAATGTATATACATTACATGCGTACACATTACATGTGTACACATTTATGTGCACGCTCAAACATGCTGTTACCTAAATACATCGGTGTGCGATACATACATATCGATACGATTTTATGAGTTCCCAGATGCGTTTAATTAATTGAAATTGGTTACACGTGATCAGTTGGACAAATATACCCATACAGCAACGGCATTCCAAGTCAGTGTAGAATGTGCGAGTCTCTCGTACTGCAAGATTGTTGGCCTTCTCTCTCTCTGTGTGTGCATGTGCTCTCTCGTCCTGTCATGATTATCGTCGCTGTGAAAAGCTGCCTCACACCCATTCCGTGGCCCACCTGCCAATATTTCAGGGACCGTGGACCTGCGCTGTTAGAATATTGATCAAATTATGTTGAACATACAATGCCTCTTTGATTGATTGTTTATTGAAAGCAATAGGATCAATATGCAGGGTGTACTCGGAGGAATAATTCATTATTAATGAATCATTATTCGCAATAACATGGTTGCTCAACCTATGGTATGACAAAGATTTAATCAGAGTGTTGTAGTTTAGTCTTTGTAAACTCACGCATGCTTTTTGGTGCTTGTGCAATTTTTGCTCACTATTCTTAAGTTACGTTTATTTCTTTAATGATTTTTGTCGTGACTTTCTTAACTCTTCTCTATCTTACTCTGGTATTCTTGATCGTGTGTATTGTTGAAGTAACTTGCTGACCCACCTCCTACTGGACATCTGTGAAAAAGAGCTTTATAGCTCATCAGGTTCCTCCAGTATAAATAACTGAAGAGAAGAAAAAGTCCAAGCCTCTGGCTGCTGTTCTAGCAACTTACTGACTTTGTGGCCTCGCAGGTTCAAACCCAGCTGGGTGTATTATTATTCTGTTAAACAGTACAATTAAACATGCATTATAATTTGTTTTGTCCCAGTAACCGTAGTTGCATTAGTAATTAATGTTAACATACACGTAATAACAGAGGTTTCTGTTAACTATTAAACCCACTGCACCCCATACATTTCATTTTCTAGACGACTTTGAACACAACCTTGAATTCCCAAGCAGGGGAGCGAACCTGGCGAGCAACAGAGCAGTATATAATTAATAATTAACACGCTCTGTAATTAATACACTGTAATTAGGTTTTACTATTTTTACACTCATTAACAACTAAAAGTAATACGTTTTAAAATTGTTGGGCTAAGCAAATAAATTAAAGCAACATACTCCGATGTCTAATTTTATAATTTTATCTCAATTAAAACCAGATCAGATTCTACTATGATCAGCTGATTGGATAAGATCAGTGCAAGGGTGTATTTGGGGCTGCTCAGATTATCTTGGATTCGTTCAAGCACGCACCCGCGATACATTTAACTTCACAAAATAAATATCTTGTTAGAAACAAAAACCGTGCTCAATGACCATTGTTATGATGGCGATGTCGCAGACTTTTCTCACTGCACTGCCTCCACAGGCCTTATGAGGTTGTTTTACCACACGGGACTTAATGCTGCTCCATGTAGGATCGCTTTAAATATCGCTCATCCCCAAAGTGAGCCGTGGCTGGGAATGTAAAGTCTCGTCACCAGATTCCGTAGCGCGACGCAGTGCATTCACCACTCCCGTGCCACCACTTCACCCGCAGTTGTAATATTCAGCCACGGGTCTATCAACTGCTGGATGAAGTCCTCCCTCAGCCAACTGCACCTCTCACGATCCTGCCATGTAATAGTCCACCTAGCAACATGCACTCGAGGAGCTGATTTCATCCCCGCGATGGGCGTCTCTCGGATGCGTTCCATTCCTTGCCTGCCACTCCGTTATTACTCTCGACCACCATTCATCGTCCCTGACAGCGACGAGTCCTGTCCAAGCCCACTTGCTTCTCATAGCAGTTAGGACGATGTCATTAGCCTGCGCGTGCTCTACAATGCAGTGCTTCTCTTCCCGTCCCTCGGTGTCATTCCAAGGGTGCAATCTCTCCATAGTTTTCGATTTAAAGCTTTCGTGACTGCAAGGATTCATCTTCTTTGGTTCTTTCGGTAAAGTCACGTAGAATGAGAATAAAATAATAAAAAAAACAATACAATTCTCACAAGTTGTGGGCTTGTGTTGTGGCCGAAACGTCGTGAGAATTTTATTGTTTTATTTTATTATTTTATCCTCATTCTACGTGACTTTACCGAAAGAACCAAAGAGGACTCTCCATATTTCCTTTGCGGACTCTGTCTGTCATTAAGGACCATGCCTCTGAACCGTACCTCACATCGGGGTAGTAACACGTTCGAGTCTAACCTTTCTTCTCGAGGCACACTGATGCGCTACTTTGCATTCCCACGCCGCAGCGTCCTCCAACGCACTCCAGTCTGCTTGTCGTCCGACTAATTAGTTCCAACGCTGTGGTCCCGGGGCGTCCTTCAGGAGCATGCCGTAGGGTTCGCGGACTCTGCTGGAGTTTCCATTCGTGTTCGCTCCGACAGATGGATTTGTTTCACGAAGTTTTGCTGTTTTGCTGGGCGTCTTGCTGGCTCGTTCCCATCGGATGCAATGATGACGATGCCGTCAGAAAATCTGAGATGGAAAAATATTAATTACGATGGGTTAATTACATGACTGCGTTATATAACGGACGTCATTTTCCCTTAAACCCATTCGCTTTTGACGTGCTCGCTTGCATCCGCCAGTGTTAGCAGTATGGCAGGGTTTTTTTTTGTTCTAGCTGTTGTCCTAAATGAATAAACTACTGTGTGCTGTAAGCTTTGATTAGTATTACTGATTGGCGTAAATTACGGACTTACATTGTCAAATTATGTTACGGAAGTCACGTTAACGGCGTACACAACAGGCACAATGAGTCACAAGCAATCCACGTGATTGAAACAGGCAATGAATGCACCGCGTAAGAAGAAGAAGCAAAAACGACCTCCGCCGTTTGACAAAGACGCCGCCGGGAGGCGAGAGCAGCCCGACTAGTGACTCGGGGCTCGCTCGCTCCTCCTCATCCTCCTCATCCTCCGTGCTGCTCCGGGCAGTGCTGCACTCTGTTTGGCCCCCGTGTCAACAACAACAGCACGCGCACGGAAAGTCCGGGGGGCCCGGACAGCCGGCAATGCAATAGCCCCCCCTAGCCACCACACGCCGCCGGTGATGTGCAGGCGACAGAGCCGCCAGACAATCTCACACAGCCTCACGCCCTTGCTGATGGCCACCTAACGTGGACAAAGCCGATGCGTGTGTGAGCGAGTAAGCGCCGCCCATGCTGCCACTAAACAACACAATGTTAATGCGGTCTTGAGCCGGTTTGCAAAAGGGCAACGATGCTAGAGCCCTGCGAAGCTTGCTTGCTTGTCGAGACGATGCGTATTTAGCATTTGGGACTGTGGGGAGACCATTCGGGTCTTTTGCCTTTGCTTACGGTGCAAAAATAGAGTTCCAGTGCTAACTACGTGGGTAAACATGTCTCTGATATCATGAAATACTGACCAGTTATTTCTGTTATTCTGATATGTTTTTTTAACACGTGTGTTTGACTGTTTTCCATTGTTCCCTGGCAGATGGAATTTGGTGCTGGGGTTAGAAGATATTACACTCAGCCGAAAGGGCTTGTGGGTAAGACTGCACTCGCATACATTAAACACAGTAACTGCGCCGTGTATACAATTATAGACAACGGTTAGTTTGGCCAGAGGCTGACTTAACATCTTGTATGACCAAACTATCTGGCTAATACAGAGTTCAGTGGCCACATGTTTAAATGCACGTTTTTTTACGCCGCATTTTATTGCATAGTGATGTAAAAAAAAAGTGTTATTGTTTTATCTGTTAAGGGTTTTATTCAGTTTTATTCATTCTGGGTTTTTGTAAGGGTTGGGCCATTTTATGTAAAGTGCTGTCAAGCAGTTTGTGAATGGCGCAGTGTAAAATATGTTTCATGGGCGTGTGTTGTAATTCACGATTTTAATTTCTCCTTTCCCTGTTTGTCTTTTCTTCCGAGCTGAGTCGTAAGAAAGTGGGCCGATTTAATCAGGAACTGAATACAAAGCTGATATCCAGTTCCCCTCCTGCTGTAATAGAGCTCGTTTATCACCAATACATACACACGCCAGACTGCTAGTTAATGTAACACTACATGAATATGGTCAAAATACTCATAAATAAGTAGGAATATAATAAATTAATCGTCCTCGCGATTCCATAAATTGCCACACGATACAAAGTTCGATTGATGTGTTGCTATTGTAATGAGTGTAGCACCTCTGGCGGATGTAGTATTTAAATGAACCAATGACATGCAACTACATACCAGTTAAAACTAATCAATTCTGAGACGCACCATTCTATGCGTGTGTCATGAGTGTCTTAATTAATTTTAATTGATGCACGGTTACATGTCTACAAAACAGTGAGGTGTGTCTATCAACACTCTCGTGGCTTACGACTCGAGCGTCTTATCAGTTTTACGTGACAGAGGATTTTCTCAGCCTTATAATACGTGTCCCTTTTTACGGGCGCGTAAAACTCGACTAAAACCAGCCGGTATGGGATGGTATGCCGCCAATAGTTTCCCATAAAGTCTCCCTTAAACGCCTTCCGTTATCTGACGTCCATTTACTTTCTTGTCGTCATTTAAAGTCTGTCACCACGATGAAACTTTGCAATCAAAAATAAACTCGTACATGATCCCGAGTCGTTCCCCACCAACACCGCCACCACCACTCCCACGTGCAATTAACAATATGGTGGCGGCCACAGCCATTTTACAAAAGTGACTTTGCTTACCAGTTGCCCAAGTGTGGTCGTTTGACATTGCATCCCACAGTGGGATCACGATACATACTGTACATAAGTAAATATATGTATGGAACTATTGTTTTTGACATTGCTACAACCTCTCACCACGTGTGGGTCAGAAGATTATTTTTGTAAACGTTCACAATGTTTTGTTGATGGGATCTTATCACAAGATAAACATCTCTGGAGCTCTTTGTGGTTAAGTTGTTTATCCTACTCTGCTTTTTTGCATGATTTTTTTTTGCAAACGGTCATAAATCCAATTAATCATTTTATTGACCGCTCATACCTCCCACACTTAATACAGTTTTAATTCCTGGTTAACAAGCTCCCAGCAAATCCATGGCTTGCAAAACAACTCCTGATTCACTCAGAGCCAATGTTTATTTGATCCTGTATTGTGGATTTGTCGATATTGTTCAGTGTCACCTGAATATATTTTTTTTTTACCAATGCTTGTATTTATTACGAAAGCGGGAATGGCTCATGCTCATCGTCTGTCTAATGAGAAAATGAAGGGCCAACCACTTCACCGTTCCACACCTTCGTAGAGTGGAATAATTATTTACATTCCCTCAAGTATTACGTGTATCTAATCCACCACGGACTAAAGCGTACTGTTGTACTAGCGATTTCATAGTCCACGCCATAGCACATCTTACCTGATCTCGTTGATGACTATACATGATAGAGGACATTTTTTTTTAAAGAATCGCATGCATCCAGTGCAGAATGCAAGAGGCCGTGATCCTTGGTGTGACGTATGTATATCTACGTGGAACTTCTTTCGCACCGTACGTAGGCAACCATGCTAATCGGGGGTGCGTGACATCGCCAGCGAGCCAAGGGGTTACGTAATTTGAATAGTGTGTACCTGACAGTTATAAGAATAAACAAACATGATTACCAAGGAGGCCATTACCATTTTAGATTAACACCATTCACGTACCCGATTAGTTCCCGCACCTCCGATGAGCACGGTTGGGTAGGTACGGTGCCAAATAGGTTCAACGTACATGCCTTGTAATTACTGTAATGTGCGTTGCAGGATATAGCAAAATATTTTAAAAAGCAATTTTTTTTCTGCAAATGAATACATCCATAGATATATAATTCGTATTGGAAGTGATTATTCTGTTGGATGAGTGTCAAACACATCTTAGATGCTCCAACGTTCTGAGAAAAATGCTCAGACTGTGGCATTTTCCAAACGGGGAAATTGGCTGTAATTTCGTTGCATGGAACCGTTCGAATTTCGGGGCAGTGGATTAATCTCTCCTCATTTGAATCCGCTTGGAATGCCATTTTGCAGTGCTACCCTTCCTGTGGTGGTAATGCATAACCGCTGTACGTACTTATTATGAAACAGTCCATCAGAGCAGAATGTAGGTCAGCAGACATGCTGAAAATTGTTCCCATTGTTTTGTAGTACACTGGTGTACTGCACATATTTGAAGTATCCATATCAGGACTTAAATAACAAATTGAACACGATACTTAAAACAAGTTTAGTAATGTTATGTACGTGCTGTTAGCCCACTACCGTTGACTCGTTGCAGTAATAGTAATGTCAAAGAATGTGGTGCAGTGTAACACACACACACATTCTCAAAGTCCTGAGTCCTACTATACATTATAGATGAGTAAAACGCCCACTCCTTTATTGATGCTATAGATCAACACCGTTACACAACTCTTACGTAACTTTTATGTAAACACAGCAGCAAGTGGTGAGCCAAATCTTCACCAGTCCTGCACCTCCCCCACCCTCCACCTCCACCAACCATCACTGCCTAGCTTGGCCAACTATGGTCAAGCTATCCCCGCGACTAACACAGCGTGAGGTACGCCTTCATCCTGCAATGGATTGACAAAGATCGACAAATAAAATAACCGATTCGTATGTCAACATTTTAACGCTTTCTCAAATGGTCCAAATCGACGCTTTGCAAAACGACGCACACGTCGGATGTATGGGCCTGCGCCGAAGTGTGTACAATATCCAGCCACGTGATGCTGCTGGTGTTGAGGCAAATGACTCGCTCGCCCTTAGAAGTTTGCAATTCCAATTTCACATTCTCAGTGACTCGGCCAAGCATCCACCCTGGCCTGGGAACACGGAGTACCACGTTGCGGACAGTAAAGAGTGGTCATCCTTTAAACGAACTCATCCCTGTTGAGATTAAGCGGATGTTTACAATGCCGTACTGACGCAGACATATCAACAATATTTGTATCACCTTATATACGTGTGTGAGTATATGTCGTGCTTTTTACGTCTTTGTCAAAGGTATGTTGTAATCCATTGTTTGCCGTCTACTTCTGAGGAAGGCAGGCATAAAATAAATGTCACATGCAACGTAATTATCCTCAAAGCATTACCCCGAACCGAGAGAACACCAGTGAATGGCATTAAAATACACATCTTGAAATTATAATTGGGAATTATAAATGTATTTAAATATAACCGTATTTCAAGAAGTAGGCATAATAAGGGCAGGGCAGGTGCGAATTGAGAGGGCGAGGGAGGAGGGAGTTGTGATCAAGGATTGTGAAAGAGGGCTTCTTCAATATTTATTTGTTTGCATGAGCAGGTCTTGGGGGTGGGTGTCCAGAGAGCAGTGGTGTAGCAGATAGCGCTACGCTGCGCGACGAACCCGGCAAACCGACATCGATCCCCGCTCACGGCCAACACCATTGACAATTAAATTTTGATTTAAAGCTTTCGTGACTGCAGGGATTCATATTCTTGGTTCTTTCGGTAAAGTCACGTAGAAGGGAAACAATAAAATATTACAAATATAAAACAATAAAATTCTCACGACGTTTCGACTGCAACACAAGCAATCATCATCAGGTGTGAAAACCACAACAAGAAAATTTGAAAAAAACGCCACTTTTTTCAATCCCGGTGCAGCGGGCAAGTCTATCTGGGATGGGCGAGTCTATCTGGGAAGGGCGAGTCGATCTGGGATGGGCGGGTATGTGTAAAGGGCGAGTCTATCTGCGATGGGCGAGTCTATCTGGGAAGGGCGAGTCGATCTGGGATGGGCGGGTATGTGTAAAGGGCGAGTCTATCTGGGAAGAGCGAGTCTATCTGGGATGGGCGAGTCTATCTGGGATGGGCGAGTCTATCTGGGAAGGGCGAGTCTATCTGGGAAGGGCGAGTCTATCTGGGAAGGGTGAGTCTATCTGGGAAGGGCGAGTCTCTGTGGGATGGGCGAGTCTATGTAGGAAGGGCGAGTCTATCTGTGAAGGGCGAGTCTATCTGGGATGGGCGAGTCTATGTGGGACGGGCGAGTCTATCTGGGATGGGCGAGTCTATCTGAGATGGGCGAGTCTCTGTGGGATGGGCGAGTCTATGTGGGATGGGCGAGTCTATGTAGGAAGGGCGAGTCTATCTGTGAAGGGCGAGTCTATCTGCGACGGGCGAGTCTATCTGTGCAGGCCGAGTCTATCTGGGATGGGCGAGTCTATCTGGGATGCGCGAGTCTATCTGGGACGGGCGAGTCTATCTGGGATGGGCGAAGCGAGTCTATCTGGGATGGGCGAGTCTATCTGGGATGGGCGAGTCTATCTGGGAAGGGCGAGTCTATCTGGGATGGGGTAGTCTATCTGGGATGGGCGAGTCTATGTGGGATGGGCGAGTCTATCTGGGATGGGCGAGTCTATCTGGGAAAGGCGAGTCTATCTGGGATGGGCGAGTCTATCTGGGATGAGCGAGTCTATGTGGGATGGGCGAGTCTATCTGGGAAAGGCGAGTCTATCTGGGATGGGCGAGTCTATCTGGGCAACAGCGAGTCTATGTAGGAAGGGCG